CCTTCGCCACGACAAGGCAGTGATCCATGAAGGGGTTCACTGTGTACTCACAAGGAATATGACCTAAGTCATACCTGAGTGGTCTAGTGGTTTTCCCTACGTTCTTCAATTTAAGCCTAAGTTCTGCAATAAGAAGCTCATGATCTGAGCCACAGTCAGCTCCTGGTCTTGTTTTTGCTGTCTGTATAGAGCTTCTCCATCTTTGGCTGCAAAGTATATAATCAATCTGGTTTCGGTATTGACCTAGATCACGTAATTTTATATTTGATCATTTCAGAATTCCCAGTTGGATCTAGTAATGTGATCGTTTTCTGTTTCTCAATAAGATTTAGAATTTCACCTTTTGCCATCATAATTTTCCTCATTTCCTTTCCTGAAAATGTCATTCTGAATGGGTTTCTGCTCTATATTTTTTGAAGACATGTACAAAGTTATTTCACTTCTCATTTTCCTCATTTCCACCATTCCTTTAAATTTCTTATCATCCAACAATAACAATCTATCCTCCATAACCAACTCCATCTTTTGTTAGCTAACAATTATTAGCAATAAGCTAATTTAAAATTTAATTTTAATTGCCTTTGAAATCTTTTTTATATCTCTTGTTGCCTACCACTTATGGAAACCAATGTGTGTTCTGTTCTCATTTGGCCAGAGTACAAAATCTAGAGGAAGCTGTTTTTCTTCCTTGACACTGTCAATCATGCAGATAACCTCTTGTATTTGATAGTGCATTTCCTGATCTGTTTATATTTTAGCTGAGCCTATATTACTGACTTTCCTTTTCAACTTTCTTTTTCCAAAATTTTTGAGATACTTCTTCTTTTGAAGTCAAATATGAAGTGCTAGACTTCGTGGACAATTTTCAAATTTGCTAATGTTGTGAAATTGCTAATTCAACCTAACAGTTAAGGATTTAGCAGTGTGTAATAGCATAAGAACCATGCCAGATTTCTAGCCAAGCATTCTGTTCTCACAATGGCCAATCAGATACTGATTGAAAGCCCACCGGTGGAATATAAGCCCAGCACCTTCCCCTTCATATTCCTCAGCAATATGTGATTATAACCAACATTACCACTGGTGGACTCTGGTGGTATATTACAATCATGGGGATTTTTTCCTACTACAAAAGACAGAATTAAAAGCTTTTATCCTTCAACAATTATTACATTCTTCACAGTCAGCCACTTACTTCTCCAGGACCAATAGCAATGTCTTTGGAACAACTTCTTAAAAATCCTATCCCTCAAAAATAACTGTCTAAAATAAATGCTATTGCAAGCGCTGACACTATAAAGTACTCAGGCCCTAAAATTATTAGCCCACTTTCCCTCCCATTCATTTCTACATGAACAGAAGTAATACATGAGAACAATGAATGTGTAGTTTGCAGCATTTAAAAAAATCACTAAAAGACTGTACCTTCTAGAATGTGCATCCTCACCAACTCTGACCTCTCTGGTCGGGACCGGATTTTCCGTTTCAGGTAATCCTCTGTCTGTAAAGCACAGAAAAATACATTCTAAACCCCCAAAAAGTCACAAGACAATATGGAACATACAAGATTTTCCTGTTAAAAATTAATCATGGGATTCTTAAATAGAAGAAATAACACTGTCTCAGATCTCAGTAGCTATGCTGTTAAAGAATGGAAGAAGCAAAAGGTCCATCTTACCACTTTGCTTATATTGCATGAGCGCACAGCATTTAATCAGAGACTGAAAACCTTGAGGGAAAGGGAGCACAGAGTTTCCAGCACTGTACTTTTTGAAATGTTTATGATGCATTAATTGTCTATTTTCACATCTACTGACAGGGACACTTAAAACAAATTCTTCTTATTCCCAGACTACATACATATTATTGTATAACTTATTCCCAGACTACATACATATCAGTGTATAACAAACCTAAAGTTTTTCACTGAAATTGTATTTCCCCACACATTTTAGTTTTAAAACAAGACAAGCCAACAGTCACTGCATTAACTCCTCACCAAACTCACTGAAGATCTTTTTGACTGTAGCCTGAGATATGGTGTCTTTATTCAGTTTATTTCTCAGGAGCCAGAAGTTGTTCCACTTAAGTTTGTATTAGCAGAAGTAAATAAAATAGAAGCAGACAGTGGGATCAATCAATCAATCGAACTGCAGGGTATCTGAATGGGGAAGCTCTGCCTCTGTGCTATAAGGGTCCTAGGCTCTAATCCTCTTAATAATGCTACCATTCCCATCATATTATATATAATGTATAAAACAAAATACTCTGAAAGAATGGAGGTCTTCGGACTGTTGGAGCAAACAGAGACCAAGTCTGAAAAAAGCTATAGATGCTAAGTATTAAAAATTCGGTCGTGGCTTACCCTGGCCCGTTCCAAACTCCTTCTCTGTTCATGAAAAGCAGCTGGGCTTTTCAGAGCTGTTGGAAGATAATGACTCAGTTATAAGGCTTAATTTCTCACACATCTATGCATTTAAGAATCATTGAAATCATTTGGACAAGGTACGGAAGATAGCTCTTTTGCACATATGCTCAATTGTATCTTGTACTGTTTTAATCCACATTGTTGTACTTTGCCAGCCTAAACCAATGATGAATACAGTTCACTGTCAGATCGCTAAAAATACTTTCTGTTTACATTTATGTACCTAAATATATGCAGATTACCAAAGCACACAAAAAACCTCAGAACTGAACAGGGGAAGGAGCTAGTAAAGTGGTTCAGCAACAAAACATTTGTTATATCTGAGAAATTCACCATAACACAAGCATATACAAAGATATATGAAGTCTGTCTAATATATATTTGATGGCAATACAATCACATGTATTAGGATTTAATCATTTATAGAAAGAAAATACAAATAGGAGCAAGGAATACAGTTTAAGCATGTTTAATTAGCAAAACAAAGGTGGCAGAAAATTTAAGAATTAAGTTCAACAATGAATTTTCCCCCCAGTGGACAATTGCCAAAGTAGATCCTATTTTAAACCACTGAGCCCCATCTACCTAGCAGCGTACAAGTTTTGAAAGAATCCTCTGGCAGGGCTTTCTCTCCCAGACTTTAATAAGTTAACTTTGATTGGAAAAAAATAGATCTGCTGCCTGGCAACAATTTTTTTTCTCAGTACATTACAGTAAGAGTCAGGGTAAAACTCACCTCCCTGCTTTTATCTCTCCAAGAAGAAAGGAACAGGGAAGGGTACACCATGCAACTGTTTATTATTGCTGAATAAGCAAGTAATGGCTGATTTTTATATCAGTAAATTGAAATATTGTTTGGTTATAGAGAAAAAATCTGAAGTGTACTTGTTAGACTGATACGCAGTTAAAATATTAACCATTTTGGGGGGAAATCTGACGATCTAGCTTGGATAAAATGCAAAAAGGAGAAAACTGTAGACTAACATCCATCTAGAACAGAAGACGTCACCTTGCCGACAAAGATCCGCATAGTCAAAGCTATGGTTTTTCCAGTAGTAATGTATGGCTGTGAGAGCTGGACCATAAAGAAGGCC